AATTTTATTGGGGGCTAATTCAGCTCTTATCACAATACATACATGTACCCATTGTGTCAAGCACATTTGTACATTTGTTGCCATCGTCATTTTCAAAATATTTTCTTTCTACTTGAGCCTTGGTATCAGTTCCTCATTTTACCCCCTCCCTTTCCTTCTCTTCCTCCCACACGAATCCTTGATAATTTATAAATTACTGCTTTTTCATGTTTTACACTGACCAATGTCTCCCTTCACCCACTTTTCTGTTGTCCATCCCCCAGGGGAGGAGTGGGTTGTATGTAGATTATTGTGAACAGTTCCCCCTATTTTCCCCCACCTTCTCCTTCTCCTCATGGACCATTTCTACTTGTGATAATGATTACAGCCTCCAGTTGTGCACCCATTCTGATCATCCTTTCTCAAGTTGTTCCTTCTGCATGAAAATAAACTCACTAGTTCCTAAGTTTTCTATGTCTAATCTTTCAAGTTGTCATTTTCAGTGTGGCCTCACATAGCTATGGTGCAATGCTTGAGGGAGACATTGTTTAGTTAAACAAAATTACTGTTTTATGTTTTTTGTTTGTTTTAATTAAATACTTTTATTGGGGGCTCTTACATCTCTTATCAGAATCCATACATTCCATCCAGTGTGTCAAGCACATTTGCACATATGCTGCCATCATCATTCTCAAAAGCGTTCTCTTCCCACTTGAGTCCCTGATAGCAGCTCCCCGTTTCTTTGCCCTCCCTCCCTCTACTTTATCCAGTTCTGGATACCTTGAAAATTTTGAAGTCTGGTCTATAGTTTGCTCATTTTGAGTAGGAATCTTCTATAGACTCTTGGATCATAATGGTCAATAGTGGTAGCCAGGCAACATCCAGTTCTTCTGGTCTCATTGCAAGGGGGGCATTTTTTTCATTGAGGCAATCAGTATATCCTCCTATTCCTGATTCTCCTTACTCTGTTATTCTAGATCAGTCTTTCCCAAAGTGGGCAAGACTGCCCTCTGGAGGTGTGTGTATATGGGGGTGGGAGCACCGGAATGATCCAGGGGGCTGCAAAAGCAGATAATCCTGGATTGTGGGCTATATGGCGCAAAAGTTTTTTGACAGGCAGTGAGGTGTTGTTGTTTTTTTTCTCCTTAAAAAAGGGAATGGTAGGTCAAAAAAGTTTGGGAACTTTTGGATTAGAGCATACGTTTCCAAACTTATTTGACCTGCCTATGATCTAGAGTAGGGCTTTCTGTCCTATGTGAATTTCATCAGGAAACTGTATCCTATCCACTCTACATGGGTAATCTTGCCCTTTCGGTCTTTTTGTTTCTAAGACTCAAAGAACATTTAAAGTAACATGCCTTTGGATCCGAGTCATTTACAGGATGTTAAAATGTTTTGAAGTAGTACGAATTGAGCACAAAATTCTTTGGAGAAGGGTTAAAAAAATCCCAAACTCACTGCCTTTGAATCAACTCTGATTCTTGGCCCTGAAACAGAATAGAACTGCCCCTTTGGGTTTCTAAGGCTGTGAATCTTTATAGGAGCATATAGCCTCATCTTTCTCTTGCAAAGCATTTGGTGGGTGTGAAAAACTGCCCTTGCAGCCCAATAACCCACATTTCTAGAAGGGTGAAAGAGATGGAAATACCTCCAAAAGCGTGTAGACCTAGATGGGAGGAGGATATGTTGAGAAACAATAACTTCACATTTGATTATTATATATCTTACACATTTCTGTGTAATAACAGTTTCTATGATTTTTGTAGCAATACTTGTCATATTTAATCCAAAGTATATATATAACATGCTACAGTGGGTTTATTGAATATGATCATTCAGCTATACAAAGATCAGATAATCTAATACACTAGTTAATAAAGCTTCTATACATACAAAACCAAAAAAACTAAACTCATTGCAATGCCAGCTCATAGCAACCCTATAGGATACAGTGGAACTGCCCCTGTGAGCTTCCCAGACTATAACTTAAAAAAAAAAATCATTTTGTTGGGTACTCATACAACTCTTATCACAATCCATACATACATCAATTGTGTAAAGCAACATTTGTACATTTGTTACCCTCATCATTCTCAGAACATTTGCTCTCCATTTAAGCCCCTGGCATCAGCTCCTCATTTTTCCCCCTCCCTCCCCAATCCCCCCTCCCTCATGAACCTTTGATAATAAGTTATTATTTT